TGAGGAGGAGGTTTTTATTGGTTAAACATACTGTACTTCTGAAATTTTTGATGGGGTGGTTAGAAAATTGTTTCCATTTCTTACCTCATGGAATGTCTAACTAAAATTTCCTTGATTCCGTGATTTTGATGAGGTGGTAACAGCAGGTTGGTTTTATATAAACTATATATACACACACACACACACACACACAGAGTGATAAAATGTTTTGGAATTACATACATTCTGTGGAGAAAAAGGTTCTGGCTACTTTTACATGAAAAAGATTTCCATATAGATGTAATTGATAGAATGTTCTTCCTCCCTTACTCAGTTTTTTTAAATATATTTTTCCTTTGAAATTCAAAATATGGAATCTTATGTTTATGAAGGACTAACATTTGGAAGGCTCTTAATTATGGTGGATTTTACCCACAGCATGCAAATATATCTTAGCCGTGACACTATCTGTTTTTGTAATCCTGGAATGTTTTTAATTAGATTCTTCATGGAACAATGGATTCAAATTTGCGCTCTATAAAATTCAGCAGATTTTATGCTATTAAAATAGAAGATTAGAGGATAGGAAAGACAGAAAATGTACATTTCATTTGCTTCTTTATTTAACCTTCACCTAAATGCTCTAATATATTTCTGCCTTATGTTTTATAATCTGGTTGAAATATGTTTCCGTCTTTTCTATAGGAGTATGAAGACCATTTGAGATGTGTGTTGCTTGTAGTTTTTAAAATATATCCTAAAGTTCTTGTAATGAAAAGTAGGGTCCTAGACATCTGAGTTTAAAGGAAGTAGACATTAGTTTATTGTTTGCCCACTAAACCGGAGAAAATGGACATTTTGAAACATTTTTAAATTTATTGGTTGACATCTGTCAGTGGTAGAATATTTTCTTGCTTGAGAATCTGTTTGAATGAAGGAGGCAATTATATTTTGCCTTAATGGACTGCTGGTACAGTGCCATAAAAACCAATTAGCTGCTGAGTCAGTGTAAATAACCATATAAGCTCTGTTTCAAATACTTTTTTTTTTGAACAAAGGTTGGAAGCAAATAGATAAATAAAGAAAAGCAAGCAAATCCATTTTACATGTCATTGTTCAGCTTTCTGTTGCATATGTTGTAAATGAAATGGTTTCAATGTGAAGTTTAAGTCATGGTACACTGCAAGAATGAATGATACATACAACATCACTGTATTATCTTGGAATTATTATTTTTGCATGAAAGTTTAACACTATTTCATCATGAATTTTCCTTATTTTATAATTTTCTGTGCATGCATTTTTTTTCACTTTTTTTTTTAAAGATTTTATTTATTTGCAAGAGAGAGAATGAGAGACAGAGAACATGAGAGGGAGGAGGGTCAGAGGGAGAAGCAGACTCCCTGCCGAGCAGGGAGCCCGATGCGGGACTCGATCCTGGGACTCCAGGATCATGACCCGAGCCGAAGGCAGTCGCTTAACCAACTGAGCCACCCAGGCGCCCCTCTGTGCATGCATTTTCTAAAAAATATATAACCTCACTTATATATCATTTGTTTGCTTTAGTAGGAATATTTATCAATGGCATGAACTGCAGATTAGACACATAAATTTAGTGGTTATACTAAAATGTATTTGAGTGCCATTAGGACAGTTAGTGATCATTATAAGAATTCTGGATTCAGAGATTATAAAATAATAAATGAATTTTAAAATTTCTAAGAAAGGTCTTCAGTTATATTAGATGATAGAATTAGTTTGGCCACATTTGTGAATTAATGTTATTGATATTTCAGTGCTGAATATATCATTTTTAAAAAACTTTCATTGAACAAATTAATCAGAAGTGTAACTGCAAAATTAGACACTTTATCAATAAAACTTCCATGAGGGCATAAACATGTTTGCTTCTGATCACCATTGAATTCCATTCATATAGTATATTCTGTACAGGCAGAGTACAGAGGGCGAATGAATGAATGAATGAACGATTACTGGTTTTGTTTTCATGAACTTGAAATGATATTTATGAAAAGTAATGATATAAACTAGTTTTGCATTACTGTTGCGTTGAAAGAAATCTACAAGACACTAAGAATTTAAATTTTTTCTCATCATAGCTTTATATTATTTTGAGCAAATATTAAACAAAATGAAATGATATTTCATTGCCCTAGATTCGAAGAAAGTCCTCCAGTCAACAGTGTTGTGTCTGTAGCTTGCTTTCACTGTATTTTTCATTGATTACTTTTTAAACTTCTTAAGATCTAAATACAAGAATGGATCACAGCAAAAACAAAAACAAACATGTCTCTAAACCATCAATTTATAACATTCTAATCAATAGTGTAACAGTGAAATGATTTAAATGCCCTTTGTTGTATTTAGAGCTTTTGAAAAAAAGTACCCTTTCTCAAGACCTAGATAAATAATCCAGATGCCAAATCCATATTTTCTTCATATGATTTATTTCCTGTCTTCTGGGGCAAATCTGCCCCTTAAAAGCCAACAAACCTGGTGGAGGAGAGATATGTGAAAAATGACTAGAATACAGTGAGATAGAGAAGCACAGAGAAGAGAACGCCCTTGGGTATATAGAGAAAGATAACACGTAACCATACCTGAGAAAATCAAGTCAGGCTTTAGGAGGAAGCCATGCTTCAGTCGTCTTGAAATACCTAAACAATAAAATTCATAATAACGTAAAATTATTACTAACCTAAATGGGCTAATAATAGGGAATGATTAAGGAACTGTGGTCCATTTTGATAATGAGATGTTATAAAGACCTTAAAAATAATATCTTCCAAAATATTTTTTTTAAAGATTTTTTTTTATTTATTCATGAGAGACAGAGAGAGAGAGAGAGGCAGAGGGAGAAGCAGGCTCCCAAGGAGCAGAGAGCCCGATGCGGGACTCGATCCCAGGACTCTGGGATCATGACCTGAGCTGAAGGCAGACACTCAACCATCTGAGCCACCCAGGCGCCCCATCTTCCAAAATATTTAATGATATTAGGAAAACATGTACGGTATGATATTTGACATAGGTGTACAACACAGAATTCTCTATATGATAAGACTTTAATTAGATAAAATAAATAAGCATACCAAAAAGACCCCTAAAACTCACTGATCTGAGTGTTGCATTATGAGCAGTTTGAATTTTCTTCCTCATATATTTTGTAAATAAACTTAAATTTATCTTGAATGTGAACAAAATAATTTCTGCTTTTTGGAGGAAGAAAATCATAACTAGTGTTGCCGATTATAGAGAAAGGATTTTACCTTTTGTGTGAGAGAGGAAGGGATGGTAACTTGGGGAATAACTGGATTTAGAGGATTAGAAAGCAAATTTGGAAATTGAGAAAGAAGAAGAGAACAGAGGCATAGAGTGCCTCATCCATGCAAGAAGTATTGTTATGTCAAATGCTACAATGAGTTCAAGAGCAATATTGTCTGAGGAAACCCATTGCGTATAGAAATAAGGAGGTCAGGGTGAACCCTGAGCATATTGAAGAAAGCCAGGAACTGTGAGAAGGACTTTGGAATTGGATAAGACCAGAATTTAGGCATTTCTACTTAGCCTTCTGGGGATATTTACTTGTTTTGATTTGATGTTCATTAAGTGTTGGTAATACCTACATGTTCAAGTATTACTAACATTGAGTAAAAATGAATCAATGTGTATGACACAGTATAGTCAATATACATATATATGTAGTTATTGTATTTATACAAAAATATATAAATATGCCAATATAAATATTTATACCTGTCTATATATTTGTATATATGTTTTTTAATCCAGGCAGAAAAGTGAAGCTCCTGCCAAGTATTTTAACAGAGGAATTTAATATGAGGAATGAATTCAGCAGTTGTGAAGGTGACACAGAGAATAGAAAGGTGCTTCTCCCTCCAGGGCTACAAAGATCTAAGAAGGAAAGGATATTATACAAAGTCAGGAGGTGGCCCCAGCAGGAGCTAAAATTAGGAAGGAGATCAGGGGACCACTGCTGGGGACATCCCCTGAGGCAGAGGATGGGAGGATATCCTGGCTTCTGGGCTCATCCTCCCTTCAGTCTCCACCAGTGCCTCTCATTGGCCAAATTCCACCAAAGCCAAAGTGAGCCTGGGATATATGGTTCCCAAGAGTCAGTCTCTGGGATACAAAAAGAAGAGGGGAAGGGGATGGGAAATATTTATTATGATGTTTACATGGATAGAAATGAAGCTGAGAGGCAAAATTTTTGATGGATAAAATATTTACAAAAACACTTAATGAAAGTTATTTCTTTGTGTCTTTCAAAACTAAGTGGGGAAAATTGTGTCTTTCTCAATAACAGAACCAGAGAGTAGAATTATTTTCAACTCTGACTTCAGTGCATGATAAAAACACTTGTGTTTGAATGCACCTTCTACAGTGGTTTTCACACAAAATATACAGAGTCCAGTCTTACTGAAAATACCTATGATACTTAATGGATTTGGAATTTAAGATTTACCTCATAAGAAGCTGCAAAATTATTTTTCTGAGTATAACAGTTTTTTCAACCCATAATATGCTTTCTGTAGAGGAAATAAAAGGTTTATAAAATTTAATATTCCAGCAGTAATTTCTTTTGTGAAAGATTTATAATTATCTCTAAAACATCTTGTACATCTATTCAGTGTTACTACATATTTCTCTTTCTGATATAGAGGTTATTAAAATGTACTCTGAAGTTAGTTTCTTACAGGTGCTTTCTCTTTTCTACAAAGTCCAGACTTAAATATTAATATTCCTGTAATGCCTAAAAATCAGGAGATTTTTATTCATTGTATGATTGCCTTATTTTTATTCCCAATCTTGCTCCACATTTAGGGCACAGCGTTATTAATTTTAGTAGTCATTTTTGAGGAAAAAAAAAAGAATCACTCATGAAGAGCATCAACTTTGCTTCTTGACATGAATCCTGGGCTTGAATTAAACATCCCTGAGAACTCACGTTTCCATTTAAAAATTTAATTTTTTCATTGCAGACGTTTGGAACAGAACTCAATCAAGGTCATCCCTCCTGGAGCTTTCTCACCATATAAAAAGCTTAGAAGAATGTGAGTGAATAATATTCTGGACTATATGTAATTTTAAAAATTATACAGGTCATGACCATGCAGACATTCACTTACATATGAATATTTGAGTGTTTGACAACTTAAATATTAAATGATGTGACTTCTGATTGCTGGTTGTATAATACTATAATGTTAAAAGCTAAACTATGTAATATTTTAAAGTTCTCTGAAATTTAACATACTGATTTACACCCATGTGAATGTATGTGATCAATATAGTATGCAGTCAAATCTTAGATGCTCTATTTTCAAAAATAGGACATGGCATCTCTTATAATAATTTCAGAAAAGAGCCAATAGTTGATTTAAAAGTCTGATTTTTTAAAAATTGAAGATGCTTCAGATGTTTTAGGTTGCAAATTGTATACATGTATTGATAGGTGCAAAATCGACACTTAAAGGCAGTAAATAGCTTTCTCTTGCTGTAAATCCTCCCTGACATTCTATTTAATTTAATCTACCCTATTTCTAATCTTAGTGACCTGAGCAATAATCAGATCTCTGAACTAGCACCAGATGCTTTCCAAGGACTACGCTCTCTGAATTCACTGTAAGTATTGACCACATCACTGAAAGAAAGCAGAATACACAACTAATAATGGTTCCATTTTTTTTAAAAATCTGAATTTAAGAAAAATAATCCTTTAATTTTTCCTATGAATTATTAATAATATTAATTATTATCAATCTTAATGAATTTCGTCATTTTTATGGAGGACTGCTACCTGTCACTAAAATCAGCCTTCCATAAAATCAGCCCATTTTTAAAGGTATATATTTTAGGATTTGATAGTTTTGCTATTTAGAGAGAAGAGTAAGAGCCTCTTTATTATTCTATGTTGATATTATTGACAGTTTTTCTGTTTCTGAACTAAAGAGGAAATGTTTATTTTGGAACACTTTGGTCATTGTATTTATAATCCTTAAGCCAGTAGCCGCTCTCTGGGGAGAATATCAGTCCCCTTTGGAATGACGTTCAGTGGTCTTACAGAGAACAGTTAAAGATGCCCGGTGGGGGCCCCCTTGACTCCCTGCTTCATCTCCTTAAGACTTCCCTGAAAGAACCACCTTTACTCTCTCAAAGAACAAAGATAACAAAGTATGACAGCTTTTTAATGTCCAAAGGATTTTCAGGCAGATAACTACATACATTACAGTGATTGTAAAAAAAAAAAAGGATAAATGCTGTTATTCTTTCAAATTTGTAAAAAAATCTTCAGAAGGCCACCAAGTAAGGTAAACTGTATTTCAGATTTTAACTTTAAAGTTTGACCATGGAGGGTGGCATGTATTTTTTCTAAGAGTATGCGCTTAGAGAGGGTTCTTATCATTATAAATGAAGGCAGGGCTCTCGAGAATTTCAGAAGTCAGTGGTGCCCAGTGGGAGTTCCAAGATACACATGCGGGAGGCCCAGATAAACACTGGGGGCTTATGTAACGCTTCACACTCACTCATACGTAGGGAGAATTCATCTGGGCACATGTTATTTCAGGTTGCTGTGCTGGTTTGCTCAGAAAACTACAGTTTTCTTTGAAGAAAGGAATTGAAAAACTATCACTTCACCTTTCACCTGCAGTATCCACTTAGGTTCATTTTTGTTTATTGTTGATGTTGCTATTTTTTTTTTTTTTTTTTGAGAGAGGGAATGGGGGCAGGGGGAGCGGGAGAGAGGGAGAATCTCAAGCAGACTCCTCACTGAGCATGGAACCCAACATGGGGCTTGATATCACAACCCTGAGATCATGAGCGGAGCCAAAATCAAGAGGTGCACGCTTAACTGAGCCACCCAGGCACCCCTCTTGTTGATGTTGCTCTAGTTAGCTAGAGGAAGTCCAAGACCAGAGGAACAATTGTTGGCAGAAAATGCAGAGTGCAGACCAGTACTGCTCTTAGGATGGGCTATCAGATTCTAAAATAACAAAGTTTAATGTAAAACTCAGTTAAATTACTCGAATTGTCCATAAAGTACTGTGTATGCCATTCTGGAGAGTAACATTGTCCAAAGTAAATACAGACCACGTTCCAGCCACACAAAAGGACAGAACACAAGTCAAGTCACTGTACCAATGCCTGGTCCTTCAAGTATCTGTGCCTCAAAGAAAACCAGTAAATGTCAAAAGAGAGAGAAACGGTTAGAGAATTCTTATGTAGATCTGTTTGCTTGCAGTTTACTATTAAGCTATTGCCTTAATGTTAATTGACACCTTCTGGCTGTGAGAATTAAAATAAATGATAAAAATAAATAATAAAAAAAATAAAATAAATAATTAATAGAACATATAATTTGTTTCTATATTTATTATATTATAGATTATATTTAATATATAGAATACACATTTATTAACTACTATGTTATGTATTTTATTCTACTATATATTACACATTATTGGTATAGTAATGTGTTATATTAATATTATATATTAGATTTATTAATAAACACAGTTACAACTAATTTTATAAATTATTACATACCGGGGCACCTGGGTGGCTCAGTTGGTTAAGCGACTGCCTTCGGCTCAGGTCATGATCCTGGAGTCCTGGGATCGAGCCCCGCATCGGGCTCCCTGCTCGGCAGGGAGTCTGCTTCTCCCTCTGACCCTCCTCCCTCTCATGCTCTCTGTCTCTCATTCTCTCTGTCTCAAATAAATAAATAAAATCTTTTAAAAAAAAATTATTACATACCTACCCATATAAATATAATAGACTCATAGCAAATAATAAGAGAAATAACATATGTAAAAGAACATACTTGCTGAAATGAGATCTTAATCTTCCTGACCAGAGCGCCATGTACACAGTTTTTTCAGAAAGCTGTAACAAAGCGTTATCTTTCCCTATAGAACTGACTTTTAGTCAGTGCGTTAAGTCACTGGGGAATTTCTAGTTCGAAACCTAGCAGTATGCAGAAGAGTAGGAACTGTTTTCCAGAAGTGGAATTACCCACATACTGCCCCGTAACATCAGAAAGCAGATACTTTATGAAGAGTATCAAACAGCTATACTAGAGAGAGAGTCCACATATTACAGCTGGTATCATTTTCCTCATTGTGTTCAACTTTTGAATTGACCTTCCAAAGATTAATTTATTTACCCCTTCATAAAGTATATAACTCTCCAGACCTGCAATAGCCTTTCTCTTCATTTCACCAAAATCATACATTCCACAGAGATGTGTAGGGACCCTGTTGTGTCCTAACCCTACTCAAGGCTCTGGGGATGCATGAGTGAACAAAGTACAAAAGTCCCTCCCTCATGGAGATGACCAACGATAAACTAGATACTGGTCAGATGACGTATTATATCTGATGATTATAAAATGCTGGGCGGCTCACTCGATTAAAAGTCCAACTCATGATCTCAGCTCAGGTCATGAGCTCAGCATCCTGAGTTCAAGTCCCGCATGGGGCTCCATGCTGTGTGTGGAACCTACTAAAAAAAAAAAAAAAAAAAAAAAATGCTGTGAAGGAAAATAAAGCAAGCAGAAGTGATAGGAGTGCCAGTGGGGAGGAGAGCTGAAACTTTAAACAGGATGGTCAGTAAAGGCCTCCCAAGAAGGTGATACTGGGCAAAGACCTGAAGACTCCAGTTGTAGGAATGAGCTGTGCAGATGCATAGAGAAAGAGCATTAGAGACGCAGAGAACAGCTAAATATGAAGGCCCTGAGACAAGAGTGTGCTGAGGGTTTCAAGAAAGTGCAAGAAAGGGGTTCCTGGGTGGCTCAGTCGTTAGGTGTCTGCCTTTGACTCAGGTCATGGTCCCAGGGTCCTGGGATCGAGCCCCGCATCGGGCTCCCTGCTCCGCGGGAAGCCTGCTTCTCCCTCTCCCACTCCCCCTGCTTGTGTTCCCTGTCTTGCTGTCTCTCTCTCTCTCTGTCAAATAAATAAATAAAATCTTAAAAAAAAAAAAAGAAAATGCAAGAAAAAAATGTGACTGGAGGGAGGCAGAAGGTTGAACTTGAAATTATGCAGAGGTTGAAGTTGCTGATAGCGGCAAGGTCTAGGACACAACCACGAGGATGGAGGGACAAAAGATGTTGACAGATTATAGGTTTGCGGGAAAAGAGTGGGGTTGGAGAGCATAATGTAATAGTGAGGGTTTAAATCTTCCAGAAGGAGTGGAGTGACTTCCAGGGGAGAGTGTGGGTAACTGCGAGAGCCATGCAGATAGGCAGCCCTTCTTTTTTTTTTTTTTTTTTAAAGATTTTATTTATTTATTTGAGAGAGAATGAGATAGAGAGAGAGAGAGCATGAGGGGGGGAGGGTCAGAGGGAGAAGCAGACTCCCTGCCAAGCAGGGAGCCCGATGCGGGACTTGATCCCGGGACTCCAGGATCATGACCTGAGCCGAAGGCAGTCGCTTAACCAACTGAGCCACCCAGGCGCCCCTAGCCCTTCTCTTTTTTAAATCAAGTGTTTGCTTGTACAGGTTTCTCTCACATGTCTTTCTAGAACTGTACTCACGCACTTAGCCATTTTAATGTAGTCACTACATTTGCTAAAGAAGCAAAAATAATTAAAGGTGATATGATGCCAAATACCTCTAATGCATTTATTAAATAAAAAGAACTATTTTAAATCATTACTCAATTACCAAAATAGTATATCTTAGAGAAAATCGGGCTTGATTTATTGAATGTTTTAAAGGTCTCTCCTATTAAGGGTGCCTGGCTGGCTCAGTCAGGAAAGCATATGACTCTTGATCTCAGGGTCATGAGTTCAAGCCCCACTTTGGGTGTAGAGATTACTTACATAAATAAAGGTCTCTCCTATTAAATAATTGCATTAACATTTATTTTGATTAATGTTAAAATTTATTTTATTACATATTATTACTATATATTATTGATATATTAATATATTTTATTATTAACTTAATATATTACATATTAATGGAAAATGTCATTCAGAATACATGTACTATTGGATCCTTTTATCCTCAGTGCTTTTTATTGCCCTCTTTGTGACATGAACAATATTTCTATAATATTTAATAATAATTTCTTAGGGATTCAGTATATTAGCATATTAGGCATTGTCTGTAAACATCTTTTATTGCTTTCCATTGACTGGTTGGGAAACATAATTTTATAGTACAAAATAAAGAAGTTTTTTAGTAGTATAGCATAGTGGCTCAGCAAGATAGTCTTTAGGACACTAAGTGGCTGGTGTTCAAATGCTGACTCTAAGACTTTACCAGGCACATGGCTGAAGTAGTTATTAATTTCCTTGTGCCTCAGTTATCTATTTCTAAAATGGGGATAAGATCACTCACTTACTGGACTTGTTAAAGCACAGACGAAACATTCCAGAAATAACAGAGAGGGCCTTGGCAAACTCTTCTCCTGAGTAGATTTGTGTGTTTCTCAATTTTGATTATCCCAGAAAATGTTTTTGCCTCAACATAATAGTTTTCCTCTTTTTTTTTTCATTAACCCCTTGCAAACTATTGTAGTGCTTATTCTAATTTCCCTCTTCACTAACTAATGCCCAGTTCCACAGAGGTCCACAGATGGCTGCATTTTAATTTGATTGCTCTATTAACAATCCCTAC